ATTTAGATTGCTCAACCAGGATGTGGGAGATGTTGAATCATATCTCTTCCTTATTTGAAGGGATTATGAACTGAGATTTTCTACTTTACAGGAAAGTCCCCCAACTCCTAAGAATAATTTTGGCCAAAATGTTTTTAATCTCTCCTCTTAAAGTGAACAATTTTTTGTTGGTTTTTTTTTGTCAGAAAGAGAAGGTTGTGAGCCTGTGTGCCACCTCAGTGGGTTGACCTGGATTCCAGGAGATGTTTGCTCAAATATGTAGTACAAGAAATTTGGCCTTTGGGCAGAAATTGAAAGTGATTCCCAGGGAGTTGCTCTGACCTCAGAGCAATTGGTTAAGCCTGGGCAGGGATGAAAGCCTTACTTCCTCCACGGACTGCCTTTTGTGAGGAAGAGCTGGTCTGTGGTGAAATCTGGGAGGATTTTGGGTGTTGAATCCTCCCCAGCAAAGGAACCTGTCTACCCGGGAGAGACATCTGCTTTCTGAGGGGGAAAAGTTCATCTCTCTGGGGTTTCTTATGGGCTGGTGCAAGAGTTTCTCATGCAACAAACTGGCTGTCACTTACTCCTTCCTTGGAAGGGATTCTGCCCATCCCTGGCAGGGAAACAGTGCAGCTCTGCCTGCCCCAGTCAGGTGCTGCTTGCTGTAAAGTCCCCTGGTATTGCTTATCCCAATGCAGAATGCGCTCTGTTTCCCCTGCTGATGTTAAAAATACATGTGAAATCAAAAGTTGAAATAAAAACCAGAAGCAGTCTAGATGAACCACTCTGATCTGAAAAACCCCCATCTCTTCCCTCTGCTGGAAACTACATGCGTCAAGGGCAGTTCTGGTGTGGAGAAGGAATACTTTGTCTATCTCCCTTTGTACTTCAGCTCTGCAGTGTCACTCCCTGCTGCTCTTACCTAGTTTCTTCACTGCTGTTTGTAATGCTCAAATCTTGGGATGTATATTGTCTAGTTTTTTCTGATGTGGCTTGTCTGGACTTGTCAGGATGAAATGCTTAGGCTTTCACAACATGCCTACATGAAGGCAGTGGATTGTGTTCTCTGTTCCCTGTGAATACTCTTGGCAAATATAAAGAGAGAGCAAAGATGTTGGTCAGAATTACAGGCACTTTTAAGAAAAGATAAATTACACTTTTATGTTTCATTTAACAATATTTTTGTTATGTGTTTGTAACAGTCTATGTAATCGATTTTTAAAGGTCGTATAGAAGAAATTATTGGAGATTGCTATGCAGTTATGAGCTACATGCTATGTCTCCTGTTTACCCCAGGTATCACATGCCTATTTAGTGAAATCTGCTGGTTTCTCCCTGGTATTTAGCACATAGTTCCAGAAGTGTTATCATATCAATGCGAGAAAGATGCTACCCAAGAGGGTGTCACTGTCAGCCTGTAGTCTGACTTCCTCCAAGAGTCACTTTTTCTTACCACCTCCCATATGTGTCTGGGCTGGCATTTGAGCAGCTGTGTCAGACTGGGGAGAGGATATAGCTGGAAACTAAGTCATCAAAGGAATTTAATACTAACCAGTTTCCATCAGGATTCATTCAGTTATCTGAGGCACTTCATGTCTGCTGGAACACTTGTGTAAGTGTGATGGAGCCAGCTACAATGCCTGACTCCTAGGACTATACCAATAACAAATAATAAAAACCCCTGTGGCTTTGTGTTGATCATGAAAAATATTTTACCAGATCTCAAAATAGTATTCACTTCCCAAAGCAGCATGAAGTCTTGAAACCTGATTTTAAAAAGAGCAAATTTTAAGACACGGATTGTTGGTAAGTTTTTATTAACAGACAAAGCTAGTAGCTAAATTCAATTTGAATTAATATGGACTATGTATCCTCACCTGCTTCCAGCTCCAGTTTATAATTTGACTGTATTTGCTGTTCTTTGAATGATGGTTTTGGCCAGCCCTATACCCTTGCCCACAGAAAGCCATTGCACATTTTGTGCTGTTACCACTCCACTGATTTTGACAGGGCTCCTCTTTCCTGATGAAACAGCAAAGAGAGTCAAGCTGAAGAGTTTTGCAGCCACAGACCACTGCTGGTGCATGCTTTGCCATCCAAATAGGTAGGTGCACAGCTGACAATTTTTTCTACTGAGCAATGTGATGGGGTTGCTAGACCCTTTAGACTGCAAATTTCCTGAGCTTACTTCTGGAAAGCAGAACTTTTGGAAGAAAGTGATTCTATGATGAAGCCCTGGTGTGCAGACAGACGGTGTAGCCAGAGCTTCCAGGGCTCTTGGATCCACCAAGAACCTCTGCAGAAGCAAAAGCCTGCAAACAGTCAGCAAAACAAAGATGACATTTTCTGGCTTCTGACAATGCTAAGAAATGTGTGGGAGACTCCTTTAACATCTTTAAAAATTCCATTACTCTCTGTTTCATGTTTCATAGCTTCCTTATTGTGTCCATATTGAGAAAATTTTTGTATATTGTTCCAGAGAACCAGTCACAGGGGTAATGAAAAGAGCTGCTTCTCAAAAGGGAAAGATCATTGTCAAACAGAGGGAAAGCTGCTTTAAAACTTTCTCAAAGCTATGCTAAAATTACTGTAAACAGGTGAACTCAATAGCAACATTTCTATTGAATTAATAATAAATCTAGCACTGTCTTGTATGTAAAAGGAAAGACAGACAAATGGATAAAGTGGGAAATGTTTTCTACCTTCCCTCCTATTTTCTGTACAATTTGTTCATTCTCTTCTGAGCTTTAGCTCCTTCTCATCGTGCTTTGAAAAAATTTTTCTAAAAGTAGTACCATTGAACCAGTACAAGTGACCAGTACCAAGGTCAGTACAGTGAGAAATGTATCTAATTTTTTGAGCTACCACAAGGAAGAAAGTGAGTTAGATCATATGAGAAAAGGAGAAACTACTGGTTCCAAACCTTAGATGACGAGGGCTTGAAATCCTTTGCTTGCCATTGATGCAACACACTCCATTGCCAGGGGACAAAGTCTCTCCGCCTGTTCTACCACTTCTTCCTTTTAGTTAGCCTCTGAAGCACTAGTAATCTTGGCATAGCCTGGAGCAACAAGAAGAGCACAATGGTTAAATGTCACGAAGTACACAATGGGGCCATGGCAATTTATAATTCCAAAATCCCAGTTTTCTGGAGTGACAAGCTTTTTGTTTTGAAATACACATTCCATGGCCACCTGCCAGAGCGACACCTTTTTTTCAAAGATTTTGAAATAGATACTTTATATTGTAATTTAAAAAAAATGTTGAAACAGGAAGAACCTTTTCCTGGCTGGCTCCTCCTGACATCTGTAAAAACCTGTAATTTCAAAGTGCAATATCTCTTGATGCTGCTGAAGTTTGCTGTTTATTCTCTGTTGATACATACTCTTTCTATATCCTCAAAACCTCCATGTACTTGCATTCTCTTTCACCAAAATGTCTTTCCCCAGATCAGCTTTTGCCTAGGATATTCTTTTTGGTGTTTATACAGCATCACATTAAAAAGTACAGACAATTTCAGGTAGCCCTAATTTTGGCCTGGACTGAGAAAAATCATGGAATGCCTTTTCCTCACTTAGCATCAGAAAATATTGGGGTTTTTTTCCCAATAAAGCACTAATAAAGTCCTTTGAAACAGTTTGCGCGGGTCTTTATTCTACTTCTCTTTCCTATTTTATTTTTCTCTTTTGTCTCTTGCTTTAGCACTGCTAATCTGCCATTCTCAAGCATGAGTATATCAGGAAGAAAAGGTCACATGAAAAGCATTGTTGTGTTACACCTCTGCAAGCCAGGGTTACTCTGCAGCCTTGCAAAAAAAAGATCAGTGACACATTTGCATCATGTTAATTTTCTTCCCTTCAGATCTGAAATGGGCTTAGTAGATCAGAAGTTATTTACATGCAGTAGAAAATATTCTTTTTTAGCTGAGAATGCTCTAAAAAATCAGGAGAGTTTCCAAGCATCTCCAAATTGTAGGACAACTGCAATAGCTGCTCAACTTTCATGTCTTGTTCAGGAAATGAATTAGAAATAAGAGTCTAGAATGGTTTTTTTTAATGGTGCTAGAATGGGCCACATTTGAAGACGTGGCTGTTTAGAGACTTACTGTGTATTTGGTGACATAGAATAGTAAAACAGTAGAGTCGTTCTTTAATGATCATCAAGTCCAGCCGTTAACCACCACATCTACACGTCATTTAAATACCTCCAAGGGATAGTGAGTCAACCAATTCCCTGAGCAGTCTGTTCCGGTGCCTTACAAATGTTTCAGTGAAGACATTTTTCCTAATATGAAATTTAAACCTGCCCTGGCACAGCTTGAGGCTATTTCCTCTTGTTACTTTCCTCTTGATCTTGTTACTTAGGAGAAGAGACCAAGCCTCACCTTGCTTATAACCTCCTGTCAGGTAGTTGTAGAGAGCAGTAAGGTCTTCTGCAGCCTTCTTTTCTCCACACTCAACAACACAAATTGCTGCAGCTGCTCCTGGTACGACTTGTTCTCCAGACCCTTCACCAGCTTCACTGACCTCTGGACTCGCTCCTGCAACTCGATGTCCTTGTAGTGAGGGGCCCAAAACTGAACACAGTATTTGAGGTGTGGCCTCACCAGTGCTGAGTACCAGGGGGACAATCACTGCCCTAGTCCTGCTGGCCACCCTCTGTCTGGTACAAGCCAGGATGCTCTTGGTGTTTTCAGCCACCTGGGCACTCTTGGCTCATGTTCAGCTGGCTGTTGATCAACACCCCAGGCCCTTTCCCAACAGGCAGCTTTCCAGCCCCTCTTCCCCCAGCAAGGTGTCCCATAAGTGGTGTCAAACAGCGCGGAGGTTTGGGCATTGCAAGGGGTTCTGGCAGAGACCACTGTTCTATCGGTTAGGAAAGAAAGTGTAACTGATCATTACAGGGCTCCATTGGTTCGTGATGTCCCTGTCTCTGGAGCTTGGCAGGGTGCTGCAAGGATGACAAAGATGATGTTAAACCTCAAAGGTAAATGCCCAGGGGCAGGGCCTGCCGGTGCGATGCCGCAGGGCCTGCTCTGCACCCAGCGCTGCCACCAAGCAGGTAATTAAGCAACACAGTGACAGGCTTTCCCAACCACAGCTTCCCTCATCTTGGCTGTGGTCCTGAAGGACACAGCTGTCCTCTTCCTGATGCAGAAAAGGAGCACAGGTTCTCCAGCTGTGCCCCATACCTATACTGTAGACAGCACTTATCTTGCACAGGCTGAGAGAGGTGGGGCTGTTCAGCCTGGAGAACAGAAGGCTCCAAGGAGATGTTAAAGTGACCTTCCAGTGCCTGAAGGGGCCTGCAAGAAATCTGGGGAGGGGCTTTTTACCGGGGTGTGTAGTGATAGGATGAGGGGTAATGGTTTTAAGCTGGAAGAGGGTAGATTTCAATTAGACATCAGGAAGAAATACTTTAGTGTGAGGGCAGTGAGATGCTGGAACTGGTTGCCCAGGGAGGTTGTGGATGCCCCATCCCTGGAAATGGTTGGATGAGGCTTTCAGCAACCTGGTCTAGTGGAAATTGTCCCTGCCCATGCAGGGTGGTTGGAACTAGGATATCTTTAAGATCCTTTCCAACACAAACCTTTCTATGATTCTGTGATTTCTACTATACTATCGTACAGCCAGCTGTACTAAATGTCAGCTATATTGACAGTGACAGGAGTGAGAGGGAGCTGAAACTGTTAGCCATCCAGGGGCAGTCCCACACCTTGGGTTCAAGCTTCCTCCAGCTGATTCATAGCAAAGCTGCTGCAAACTCAACATGGCATTTTACAGACCCAGAGCGAGGAGGAATCAATGAGGAATTGGCTTCTCTCCCTGCTGTAGGACAGTCAGTAACTATGATCATGCATCACTTTGTAGTGGAGAAACTCTGGTAGAGGGGTGATCTACAATGTAAATTTTAGCCTTGGCTCTGAAGGGAGCCTCAGACATTCCACACAGCCTGGAATTTTTCTTTAATGTTCACCAAAGGGTTGTGTTGTGAAAGTTAACTTGAGATATTTCAGTGTCTCTGGTTTACATTTCCATTTCTCCAGCTCCTTTCAGTGTTGTCTTAGATGTGGAAGACCTGCAAATAGGTGCTTATCCTCATGTCTCTGAGTAACCTTGTTGACACTGCTGGTGACATCATGCCCACACAGTAGCCAAACAGATGAGGATATCTGCTGGACCAAGCCTTTTTTGAGGTATGCTGTCTGAAGCCTTCAGCCCCAGTGCACATTTCTCATCAGGCAGATGTAGTTACCTTGCTCTCAGGCAGTTTTATGCAACATGGCAGTAATATGTTAAACGTTTCCTGAAAATAAATTAAAGCAAGAGAGTACCAGGAGAAAAAGCCACGTGATATACTGGCATAAAACATCACTCTTAGGCATAGTAAATAGTCAGCTTTATGTAAATAATGTATCCTTATCCTATTGCAAATAACCGTTCACATTCGTATGATTTGCGTCATTTCTCTCTGCTGACTTCTAACTTCCCAGTCTTCTGCATTTTATTCATTACAGATAGTTTACGGTACTGGTAAATCTAATTTTTGACAATTCATACCATGTAGCTACCATTTCTCCTAGCTAAATAGAGGTGCCAACAAAATTTAACTTTTAAGCTTATTGTTCTTACCACTGAGCTGCAACAGAAGGTTGGGGTTACTGTTGCTGGCAGTTCTTGCTTGTGCGATGTTTCAGAGCCTTTTTAATGATGGTTTTGTAAGGGCTTTAGCAGATGAAAGAGTCAGGTCTGGTTTAAATTTGTAGGATGAAATTTCAGAATTTCCACTTAACATGTGGCAGGACATTTATAGTATGCTTTGAGCAGAGGGTTAGGGATTTTATTCACAACCGTATCTCAACTTAGAAAGTGAGACTTAAAATGTGGAGTATCACATTAAAATTTGTTTTAAAATAAATTTCTACTTGTACATTCCTTAAAGATTACTGAAGAAGATATTTTATTGTACAGGCACCTCTTGTACCAAGAGTTTTTTGCCACTTCAAGAGTGTTGAAGAAAAGTTCAAGAAGAATGAAAGGAGGCCAACCAAATCCATCTTCTCTATATTCCCCACATTCAAAAGCTATTTTAACTAATAGTACTGTAATAGGAGTGCTGGTAACTGAAAATTTTGCTGAGAATGCTGATTGAAAATGATAACACAACTGGGATAAAGAGACATGTCTCAACAAAGAAAGAGATTAGAAAGAAACGGAAATCTCACCTACTGGTAGCTAACTTCTCATCCATGATTTAATCTGTTCTCCTCGCTGTTTTTTCACCTAGCAACACCTGAAATGAAACTGCAGGGCTATGGCAGCATTCTGGATCCCTGTGACCCAACAGTTAAACTCTGACAGTAGAGGTGGAGTTGAAGAGATTGCTGCCTCTACAGCTATGACCATACTGCCAGCTATTGCTCAGTTTGTTTCTTTTTGCACACTTTTGGGATGATCATAAGTAATTTTGGATCCTAAGCGTGTCATCCTTTTTCTGCCCCTTCTGCTGTTGAAGATACCATGACTCTAGCATTTTTCCAGAAACCTCCTGGATTATTGTGCAGCAAAGTGTGCATATGAATTTTGAAGGGACTGGTACATGGAAACACAGCCTTGGTAGCAGGTATTCTTAGTTTCAAACCACTCAGATGAGGACAGTAACACACATATGAGGAAAAGCAAACTGGGGCCCCTTAGTTAAGAAAGTAGAGAGAGGAGGTGATCCAGGCAGCCTGAAGTGGTTGGCTGCAATAATATGCAAAGCTCTCAATAAAATTTTGTATGAAAGGGCAAATAGAGGCTGTGAGGTGAACAGGATAAAATGAAACATGACTTTACAATGTTAGATTGTGCCAGGCTATTAGACTCTTTGAGAAACTATTTTCTACACAAAAGAAATACATGTTTCTTTCCTGTCTTTTCATGGAGTCTTGTGGGATGGAGTGATGAGGAAGCTGTGAGGAGACAGGTTAAGTGTGCACAGAGCTGACTAAAAGTGAGAGAGCTCTGCTGAGTGTTGGTAAGTACATGTTGAGAAAGGAATTAATGAGCTAGGTGCTGCAGTGGCAACAAATGTGCTGAATGGAAATAGCTATGGAAAGGAAGGGCCCTGCTGTTCATGGTGGATATGCTGCTAATGTGGTCTTAAGGTGGTCTGGTGAGGTATAGCCAGCAGAAGAGAGGGAAGCTTACTGCCTTGACTCAAAGATGTCTGTGAGATTTCATTTAAATATTGTTCATGCTTCTGACCTCCTTTGTTAAACAAAGATGAACTGAGGCTGAAGGATGCCCAGAGCAGTCACAGGGATGGAGAGCTTTGTGCTGGGAAGTGGATGCTTAGTTTAGTCTGTCAAAGCAAACCCTCAGAAGGGACCAAAACTGCTTCCTATCAGCAGTGCAAATACCAGATAGGACACTAATGAATACATGGATCTAATCTAACTGTGAATAGAAATGTGTGTTTTGAATGAGAAGGTGCTTCCTAACCATGGAACAAATTTCCTAACTAAAAAGAAAAGTTTTGCAGTGAGATTGGTCAAGCATGGACTTGACTCTCTAACCTTGGAGGTGTGCAAATCTTGATTGGACAGCTGAGCAACTTGATCCAGCTTTGAACTGGATGTTTAACCAAGGGGGTGGTCTTGATGACCTCCAGAGGTGCCTTCCACCATTCAGGATCCCATGCTCCATTAGAATGAAGAAGCTTTCAGAGAGCTTTCACAGCATATTAGTGAGAATCAGAAGGAAAGAAAAGAAAACCTCTCAAAACCCCAAATACTGTGAAGGCAGACCTTTCCAACAGGATTATTTGTGTATGTTGATGGTAGGCAGAAAAGACACCCGAGGATCAGGCTGTTGTTTCCATGCTGTGAACCTTACAGGGAAGACTTGTATGGACAAGAGAGAATGTGTCTTGCCACCCCTTTTAGGATTTGGGTCTCACAGCTTAGCAGCAACAATGATGCCTTCTAAGCATTTTTCAATAGAGAGGACTGAGGAAAATAATGTATATCAGTTGTCTTTATCACTCATTTCCTCAGTATAGTTTTTACTATACTGAGGTATATTCAGGGTGTTCTGCAGGAGAGCTGAGAATGGCCAAGTAATGGACAAAAAGCATCGAGATCTGGGGTAAATATCTTTTTTTCAGTGAAAAAAAGAGTACAGCAAAGGCAGACAGAGGATATAGAAAAGGAGTGGGGGGAAAAAGAAAGAATAGAAAGAGTATCAAAGGGAAAAAGGAGAAAAGAAGGCCAGGAGAAGTACAGATTTGCTAAAAAGATTTGCAACTTTGAATTTCTTTGTCGTGTCATTTAGAAAGTGAAATGAAATGGAGAAGCAAAATTAACCTGGCTTTTATTTTTGAGTCATGGAATTACAGACCTTAGAAAAGATGGGGCACTAGGCTTGGCAGAGTCAGCAACAACAATATGACTGATCCCTCTCTCCCTAATTCCTTGTCTTCCTGAGTGAGCCCACAGTTGAGTTGGTAGTATTGTCTTTAAGGGGAAGTGGCAGTTGATACATCAGGCCTATCTCTCACAGAGACTAGCAAGAAAGATCCTTTTTGTATTTGTAACTCAGTTTTCTGCCAATGTCTTTCACTGAAATACATGCAATTTGGCTCTTAGTCCAGTAGATCTACTATTAACATAGAAACACATGTACAAGGACCAGGCTGATACTTTACTGAGCTCAATATAAATTTTATGATTGGATGTCCAAGAAGACATGTTTTTTTAAAGCAGGTTTGTTTTGGTTTTGTTTTTAAATTGAAGTGGCAGGCAAAAAATAAACATACAAGGGGAAAATTGAGTAATTTAAAAGATATTTTTATGTGAAATTATATCTCGTTCGCTGCTTTTGTTTGTATTTGAAAGGAAAATGTTCATATGCTTTTGGTAATCTGCAGATTGATCTACAACTGTAGCTTCTCATGCTACAGAGTTGTGTCATTTCCAGCAACTAAGGCTCAGCTTGCCCTAAGCTATGTATCCAAAATATAAGTATAAACCTTCAGAGAGTCATGATGCAATTCTCCTGGTATGGCAAATAGGAGGT